GGCCGCTGCTGAACATCTCACCTCCCTGCTGTAGGGGATCTCGATGGAAAGCAGTATCTCCTCCGGAGCCAGCAGGGTCTTTCTGTAAGCAGGGAAGAAGGTGTGATCCATCCGAACCGTTCTCCTGGTGCCTGTACAAAAGTCAGATACAGAGCGGCCATTGTGAGAAAACAGAGAGCAATCCACCACTGAATTCCTCATCCTGGTCTCTGGTTCCCACGGTCAGAGGGAGGTGCTGGCACAATTAGGGCCAAGGCCCCCCATCTGAAATTCTTACTCAGCGATGCACTGGTCAGTGTTTAATAATTCAGTATGTGTGGGCAGAGGGAGTCCTGATTTGTAGTATTTGCTAGTTTCTCCAGCATCAATACCCCCACCATAGCCAATTTCGAGCTCCCCAAGTGACATTAGTGAATGTGAAGTTGGAAACAGGGTAGGCAAGAGTTTACCCCATAGGCCTGCTATCCTCTGAAAGGACCGCTTACAAGGTTGGCCATGGGCTGTCTTCTGGGAACTTGGATTTCATCAGATTCCCTAGTAAGGATGACTCAATGTGGCTAAACTGTTCATACAAACAGCATAGTTTATGCTGAATATCTGCTTTCCTTCTGGTGTCTGGGTTTTCAGTAGCTGCCAGAAAGAGCTACGTGACTCCCGCCCCCCTGCCCAAAAAAAAAAGCCCTCTGTGTTCAGTCTCCAACGAGCTTCCCCAGCAGATAACACTTCACCTGCGTTACCACAACACAGGGTGTGACTGAAAATCCAGGCATGGGCTGTGGCACGCTGGTGCATTCGGCTCTAGCACTTACCGCTAGGTAAGGCATCTGGGCAACAGATCCTGTTGTGAATTCTTAATGAAGAAATGGACTGACTATCCTAGCAACCCATCTGGGTACATCTCCCTTGCAGTTTCCAGGGATCCAAACCTTAGGATGGCTGGCCCATTGAATTTTGGGCTCTGTTTCTCCAAAAAGTGACATATCTTGTGGCCTTCTCCCCCACATGAGCCTCTTTCCTGACTTCTGCATGACATAGCTCTCACCTGTGGCCACGATGGTCAGCTTGGCCCCGCTGGCCATGAACACGGGGTTGAGATCAGAGATGGGGCTGGCAGTGATGATGTTCCCTCCAATGGACTAGAACAAGCAGAGAGTGTGTGTGAGAGCCCAGCCCACCCAGAAAAAACCTGGCTGTCACAGCTGGCTCCAAAACACAGGGCAGGTGGGTGATGCCTGCTTGCTAAAGGCACAAAACCAGTGTAACTCAGGCATCCAGAGCAACGTGCAAACCTTGAGATCCCAACAC